CCCAGGGGGATAGCTTGAGGCTCTGTCTCAAAAAAAAAAAAAAAAGAAAGAAACCAAGATATGAGTGATAGGTATGCTCATTGCTACTGAAGTATTGCAGATCCCAGGTCTTGTCAATGAATAGAGCTAAGGAGTTATGTAAATATGTGTGTGTGTGACATAAATTCTTAGACCCACTTACAGCTCTGTCTGTCTTCTATTTAGAAAACACTGGTAACTCAATTCAGTCAACACTGTCTATTCTAGTTTTCTCTTTCCATTTGTGATTTTCCTCTCTGACAGTGAGGAACCTGACTCTCATTATCCTTGACCATTCTCCTGCGTAACCACTCTCCTGTTGCTCCTGTAGCCTCTACCACATGGTGCCCCCCTCACCTCACTGGGGCTCTAAACACCCTGCTCTTCCCATCCCTCTCAAGCTCTGACATACCATGCCAGGCCATCCTCAGATCCCCAGGTGGACACTCTCCTCCTCACCTGATTTGGACCTCATCACCTCATGCCAGTCTGCCCCTTCCCCACGGCGATGCCTTCTTTCCCTGCTTCTGGCTTCACCTCCATGCATGGACCATCTTTACTCTCCCTGGGCACTGATAGCCTGCACTGGATCTCTCTGCACACAGCTTTGACCTCAGAAGCATATGTGAACAAATAGAATAAAAGTGCATATGGCTCCTAAATTTAGTTCACCAATTCATTGAACATACAATTATGAACTCCCTACCGAGTGCCAGGCACTGATTAGGCTGCTGGGGAGAGGGCAGTGAAGTAGACAGAGGGCCTTTCCTTATGAAGCTGCATTGTCTGACAATCTTTTTAAGTCTGTTGTTTCTATGTCAAAAGGAAGTAGTAGTATTATTTGCTCTTAGGGTTGTCGTGAAAATTGAATAATGCAGGAAACGGCCCAGTTTTAGTTATTCTTATAATCATCACTGAAGCAATATACAAATTCCTCAGCTGAAATATTAAAATTTCTTTTAGTATTTCGAAGGGAGTAAAAAAATTGGTAGGGAAAATCACAAATGACATGTCATCTATTCTTTGAATTATTTTTTCTTTCCTATAGCATACTTTTTTTTTTTTGAGACAGAGTCTCAATCTGTATTCTGGGTAGAGTGCCATGGCATCCTGGCCCACTGCAATCTCAAACTCTTGGGCTCAAGCAATCAATCCTCTTGCCTCAGCCTCCAAAATAGCTGGGATTACAGGCATGTACCATAAACATGGCTAATTTTTCTATTTTTAGTAGAGATGGGGTCTTGCTCTTGCTCAGGCTGGTCTTGAATTCCTTGAGTTCAAGCAATCCACCTGCTTCTGCCTCCCAGAGTGCTAGGATTAGAGGTGCGAGCCACCTCAACTGGCCACCGTTAGCATACTTTTTAATCTAAGCATTTACACTTTAAGGTGTGTGTGATTATGTTCCCTGAGTCCCAAATATAATACAAAAGTATAAATAGATTAAGGAGTCAAAGTATACTTAGACTTAGTAATACTAAATTGCAAGGAGTTTTTTTGTGTATTTGAATTAGGTTGACATCATAGTTGGACCTTCATTGGACCTGAGAGATATGTTGATGTATTTGGAGCACAATTAATGGGAGGGTATGCATTATCATAAAAGAACAATTTTGTTGCATGATACTTTAAATTATAGAATGCCATGTTTTGTTTTCTAAGGAAAGGTGATGACTGAACATTAAGCATATACTTTTTACATCTTACTAGCTGTTGCTATTTGAACTCATATGACGATTGCTGCTGAACCTGATATATCTATGACAGTAATTTCTATGTTACTATATTAGTGATGATATGAGTCAGTTAGTCTTAGCCTGTGCTGCCAGCTAGCAGAGCACAACTCAGTGCAAGGCAGAAGTGAGATCACTAGGAAAAGTTTAAGAGTACATGATCTGAAAAAAATTGAAGCAAACAGGGAGAGTGAGACGTTCTCTAGAACCCTGGAGAAGACCTTCCAGGCAAAATAAAAGATCTCTAGTACAAAATTCAAAGGAGTATTTGGCAAAGCAGTAGGCTGAGAAGAGTCCTTTTGCTAGTTATAAACACGGACAGGAAAAGAGAAGGTCTTAAGGATCTGTTAATGACTTTCTAACATGGAACATATAAGTATTGTCCAAAGGTCTTATGTTGTAGATAAAGTGAAGGAAAAGGATAAGTGCAAGAGGTAAGAAAGAGGTAAATGAGGAGTGGACTAGTCAGCCAAGAGGTGAGTTGGGTGTAGGCAGGGAATGCACAAGGGGACTGGGGAATGGAAAAGAAACCTGGAAGGGGAAAGGAAGGGATGAGAAAGGAGATCACCCTTTTCTGAATCATAGACTAAAATGTATTTATAATTATCTTTTGAAATATTAGCTGCTATAATTTCTTTGGTCCTTGGTTAAATTTTTTTTTTTTATTGTTTCAGGGTCATTTGAAGATGCAAAGAATTGCCTTTGTCAAATTTTTAATGTGTATTTGCTAAATACTAGGATGATACGTTTTTCCTTTAAAGTTTCAAGATTTGCTTATTATTTTTCTTCTCAATAGAACAACCATAGCAGCCTGCCCTGGTGAAAATATTCTGTGGGTTATATTCATTAGTAAGATAACATCAACATTGTAACAGAAGAAATAAATTAAGACAAAGCCCAGACTTTTTTATTTTTTGCAGTTTTTCGTTAGGGCTGGGCTTGAACCCACCACCTCTGGCATATGAGGCCAGCGCCCTACTCCTTTGAGCCACAGGCGCCACCAAAGCCCAGACTTTTGTCCTTTCAGCTTCAAACTTGCCCATCCTGTGCTGAACTGTGTAGTCAAGAATTCCCATTAGTTTTCATTATTATTATTATT